CGGCGCAAGGTCAGGGCTATATTATGGATGTATCAACAGTACGCAGCCAAGTTCTCACAGTTTTCAGCGACTGATCAAAGTTGTGTGTGGGGTCCAGCATTGTCCTGGTGGAATGTGACACCTTTATAATTGGAGAATTGTCCGCTTCTCGTTGATAAATGTGCTCAATTTGTCCAGTCGTACACGAAGTCATCCCTGAAAGTAGCTCAAAATATACCACATCCTTCCAATCCCACCAAACTGACCGCTCTTGAATGGTTTGTGGCGCTTCATCATGCTTGTACGATTATAGTTTCCGATTGAGTTCTGATTTGCTTCAAGAACTGATCATATTCATTGCATTTCAGAAAAATATTACAAGCGTTTAAGCGGCTTGTTGAATGAGTGTTGAAGTCATGTGGTTCCCAAATTTCAAGTTTTTTTCTAGAAGTACGGTAATTCCATATTAAAATTTTTCAAAAAGTGATCTTCAATTTAGCTGAAATTTCGCATATATGTAGTTTAATTCCATGCCAAAACTGACAGCAATTGACTTCAAATATTTTTAGATTATTTTTCTAAGTAGTTATAGTATAGGGTGCCAAAATCAGCAGAAACCGTGAAGGTTGCGCTGTAAAATACGTCACAAGTTGGCTAACTATAAACGGGTTTTTATAAATTTCTAAGCAAGCTAAGGCCCATATTTTCTATAAATGATTTAAAAGTTTTCGTATAAAAAATTAAGTATTTTTAAAAGCCTTTCTTTCTTTGTTATATTTAACGAAAAGAGAAATGAATTACCTTTAAAATGTATATTTTTCCGAGATTTAACCTCAAATGGTCAAGAAGTTACATGCAATTGGAGTTACATTGGTATGGGAAAATTGAAAAGAATGTACATTTAATGGAGTATGCTTACAACTTCTTATCATATACATACGAGGTGTGTTCAAAAAATATCGCGAATTTTGTGATTTTTCAAAAATTGTTTATTTATTCATGAATATCCATTTTGTCCTTTTTAAAGTAAACCCCTTGAGATATTATACACTTGTGCCAACGGTTTGTCCAATTTTCGAAGCGCTTCAAAAAATCATTTTTTTTTTATCTTGTTCAGCTCCTTCTTCGATGCCGTCTTTATCTCGTCAATTGTAGCGTAACATTTGTCCTTTCATGGGCCTCTTCAGTTTAGTGGACAAGAAAAAGTCATAGGAGGCCAGATCTGAGGAATACGGTGGCTGCGGCATCATTAGTGTGTTGTTTTTGGCCAAAAAGTCGCGCACAAGCAAAGATGTGGTGCAGAAGCCAATTTTTGTTCTTCCACAAATCTGGGCGTTTCTGGCGGATTGCTTCGCGCAAATAGCGCATAACTTGCAGATAATATTCCTTATTGACCGTTCTACCCTGTGGCAATACCATTTTCTCCACTTCATTAAGTTTTTCGTCTGTTGTTGAAGTGCTCGGGCGTCCGGCACGCTCTTCGTCGTTCACATCTTCTGGGCCTTCTGAGAACATTTTGTACCACCGATAAACGTTGCTTCGGTCCAAGGTAGCTTCTCCGTATGCCACAGTCAACATTCGGAATGCATCCGCGCACTTAATTTCGTTTTTCATACAAAATTTGATACAGGTTCTTTGATCCATTTTTTTGAATAGGTAAAAATCGATCGGCATAAGTGACAGACATGAGTACCAACATAACGCCACAATAAAATGGAAATTCGATTATACGTAACCCGCGAAAATTGAAAATTCGCGAAACTTTTTGAACACACCTTACCTACATACATATCACCCACTTGAGGATTGCTATTTCTGTGTCACACAATTAACAGTTTTCGGTTTCGCTTGTTTGTTCCATTTGAAAACGCATGGAAAATGAAAGATTTGAATTGAATTTGTAATTTAATGAAAGTTTCTTTAATAATTTCTCATCTTTTCTTCTTTCATACACAAAATGTGCTTAGTTTCAAATAAATGTCTGTGTATTGGTGTTTTCTTTTATGATTTTCATCTCTTTTGTTCTGATTTGTCAGCTCGTTTCAATAAAACTTCGATAAGAATTAGAGAAGGTATCGATTTGGTTGTAATTCGCAAGGCAATTGAGAACGACGAGAACAGTTGCTGTGAATCGCTCACGAAAATTTGTATGGCGAATTAAATAATTCGAATTACGATTGAGAGAGCGAAGCACGTAATTGTGCTGTCGTGGAAATGCCGTATTAAGCGTGTGAAAATTGTATTTTTCTGCTGATAAATAACATAGAAAATCAGTAGCATTACCGCAGGTTTGATAGCACATACATACATACATACATATCTATATATAATATATTAATAAAATCTAAAATATAATTTTTAAAATTTGATAAGATTGCAAGAGAAAACCTATAGAACCGCATAAACAGAAGTCTTCAATTCTATAGTAGCCAACCATTTGTGGTCTGTGAATTAACTAATAGTAACTATGTACATACATACATATGTATGTGCCGATAACATGTAGCAAAGTTGTACAAATCGTGGGAAATTATTCAGTAGAACAATATTTTTTTTTATTAAAAACAAGTGTGAACAATAAAAAAGTGCGCAAGTCTTTCTGCCTTGGCATGTCTTTACGGCTAAGCTAAAGTCTCATATTGGAAAAATGGGTTGTAGGAGACTTTGCTGGTTTTCAGTGTCAACATTTATTTGTGTATTATTTGTATACATACACGTATGTATATGTGTGTACGTCAGCAGGATGCCATTTTCACATATTTAGATGCTTTTCAGACGGATTTTATGCCCAAACCTTAATATCTGAGCGTAGTGGCTGTTGGAGAGCGAATCTGTGAGCAAAAAGTAAAATGAATTTTCAATTTGAGCATCGCGAATTTAATATTTCAGGTTAATTAATATTTTTTTTTTTTAATGTTGATAGCACTGTTATTGACATCTACACCAAATTTCAATATTATCACTGTTATTTTAGCTAAGCGTCTAAAGGACGTCGAGGTTTTTGCATGATGTTAATGCACACAGCACTCATTCTTCGTGAGCATTTCGGTAAAAATTCCAAGAATATCGTTCCCAAACCACCGTAATCGCCGAACTTAGCACCTTGTGACTTCTAGTTCTGCTAAAAACTCAAGAGACCACTTCGAAGACATCGTTTTGAGTCGATTGAGGAGATTAAACGTGAATCGGCGCGCTCTCTGAAGGCTATATCAGTAGACAACAGCACAGTGCATTGAAATTGTTAAAAACTACTTTACAAAAGGTGATTGAAACGTGGTCAGGAGGATATTATATTGTGCATGATCGTTCAACTACGCAAAGAGTTTGTGAAATTTGAAAGCAGTTTCAGGAGACTGACTCGCTTATAGATATTGTAAGGCCTGCGCTTTATCGCTTTGCACGTTCCACCTCAAATAAATCTACTGTAAGTGAAAGTGCTGCCGAGGATCCGAATATGTCTATTGCCCGACTTTTTGAAGAGCTGAGACTTTCTTGTAACACATTAAGGCGTATTTTGCACTGAGACTTACACTTACATCCGTGAAGGTCCAGCTCACACAACAACTGAAGCGAGCTGACCACTCACAATGCCATATATGAGACAATTGGCTGCTTGATCAACAAGCCGTAGACGGCGATTTTTCAAACAAAACACTCTTCAGCGATGAGGCACAATTAGAAAAATGGACGCACTTGGGGTTACGAGAATCCTTAAATAATTAAAGAGATCCCAATGGACTAAAAAAAACTTACTGTCTGGTGCGCTCTCTGGTCAGGAGATGTGACTAGATTTTGAAAAGGATAATGGCGGGACTGTCACTGTCAACTCGGAGCATCGTATGACTGCTGACTACTAAATTATCACCCTCGATTAAGTTTGAGCTCGTTGGCTACCTTGTGAGTCCCACGTTGACAATAACATGTCTATAGTATTACCAGGAACACTATGTACGGGTTAAGCTCTGTACTGTTATACTTGCTGTTGAATCTGTAATTTGAAGAACATTGTTGTTCTCTAAGCCTTTGCCATCAATCAGACCGAATCAGAATTTGAAGGCAATTTGAAGGCAATAGGCGACTTATTTTGGCTTGGTGTTATAAAATTAGTTCATTGTTTATATTTTACATTTACCGAAGGCGATAGGCAAGTTAAAAGTTTCGTCTCCATCTGCAAAGATTTCATAATCAATTCTAATTCTTGTGATTTGCCATTGCTTTCTTACTATTTTGCTTTAGTTTACACGTTAACACAATAAAGATGAGCTTTTCGTCTCTCTGGCAGACTTTTGAATGCCTTCATATATATTCCATTGTCAACTTCGCGGCTTATGCGAAAATGAGGCCTTAACGGTCGCTCGGCTGTCTAAGTAAATATGAGCTCTAATTTTATATACGCATGTTACCTGCCTGAATGACCTTCTTATATCCGATTGGATGCAGTAAACTACAGCTCTAGAACCCGCCGTTCATCTGTAGGCAAATACAAGGTTTTCCTGCCAGCTTGAACCCTTCACTCGATCTGTCTACCTCTATTGTAGCTGCCAGAAGCTTCCCGAAAGCCCATGAGACGACGTAGTCTGGTCGATCTGGTTTTCGCCAATAAGTTTGCCGGTGGTGAATATATTTAAAATCGCAAGAAGCATTGTCGACGGTGGTGGTTTAGGTGCTCGTGATGCTAAGCGTCGAGAGCCCCGAAGAAAATCTGTAATAAATTTACAGATAAGTGCCAAATATCTTTATCTGGTAACTGTAACTTGGGAAGAAAGGTTAATTATATGATAAATGAACATCAGTCAGTCACCAAAGAAAACCTGGTGCTTGTTGGTGAGACCGTTAGTCTTGATGTTAGTAAATGTGGCACGTTTGCAGTAAATATTATTTATTTTATATGTTTAAACTTACATATATATTGCCATACATATGTATGCACATATGTTTCTAATCACAGTTTCTTTCTTCTTCTTCTTCGTTTTATTTATTTCTCCCCTCTTCTTTTCTTTTTTCGGTTTTCATCTTTACAGAGGCGGTTCGCACGCTGCTGAACATGCGGCCATTGGCCTCAATTTGAGCGCATTTACGCAACATTTAACCAACAACAACAATAACAACAGCAGCAAGTCTGCACTCAAACTGAACGCATTACATTCATCTTTTAACGAAAGCGCATTGAATCTGTCGAAATGTGCGCCAGGCCTGAATATGAGCCACGAAGACTATTACTACTATGTGAAATCGGAATTGGATATGTCAGCGGCGCATGCGGGTAACAATGGCATTGGTATTGGTAATGGCGGTGGTGGTGTTGGTGTTGGTGTTGGTAGCAATGCAGCTGTTTCGCCACTTCCTTTACCAGCACATCAAGTACAGCAGCTTCATCATCACCAACAACAACAACAACAACAGCAGCAGCAGCAACAAAATTCTGCGCATGACAGCCGCGTGTCATCTACGCGCAACGACAGCACCACCCAACACAGCAACACATTCGACGATCTTGACGCATCATCCGTACGCAGCGGCGATGAAGCCTCCATGCGTAATGCGGACATGAGCAATCAGGGCTCCGATGAAGTTGAAGAATTGGAGGCCATAGATGCAGATTTTCCCTATCCCCTCATACTCGATGCCAATTCGCCGCATTCTGTTAGCGCAGCAGGCGGTCATGGCAATGGAGTTGGTGGCGTCGCATTGAAACGTAAACGTCGTGATGGTTTGGACGGCGGCGACGGTGTCAACGATGAGGATGACTACGACGGACAAATGATGCAGCAACATCGTCATTTGCGCCAACAAAATGCTGGCTTAGGTGGTGCAAGCGGTGGTGGTGGTGGTGGTGGTGTTGGTATGGGTAGTTGTATGCTGGATATGCCGCCGCCGCAGACGGTCCGTGAGGTGTTGAACTCCAAGTTTTGTGGTTTCATTTCGGCGAAACTCAATAGCATGGAAGATACGGAGGCGGATAATTTAATGAACAAAATACTCATGTTGCTGGTGCAGACGCAGACACAAACGCAAACGCAGACGAGTGAAGGCAAATAGTTCGGCAGGATAGTCGAATGCAATTCATGTAAATATAGGAACACACATGTACATATGTAGGTGGTGAATGTAGGAAAAGTGTGATAGCTGCTGCTGTTCTATGCAACTTTTGAGGTCAACCTGAGCAGCGCCAGTGGGTTGATGGTGAATTTTGTTTACGTATATAATTTTTTTAAAAGATATGCATATCTGGATTACGAAATTGTGACGCACACTATACATATCAGCACATGACAGGTGGCAGGTGGAAGGTTTGAATTATTATAAAAATAAAAAAAAATGTTGAAATGCCATATTTTAGTTAAGTAATTATAAGTAAATTAATTCTCAAATAAATGCTCAAAACTGATCACATTTAAAATTATATTTAATAATATATTTACCTATTTTTTTTGCAACAAAATTTGCATTAGTCAATATATTTTTTATGTCCATACAAACATTCCTCCTATTTTAAGATTTGAAAATTTTTCAAGGAAAAATTATCACAACAAATGAAAGAGAACTGAAAAAATAAATAAATAAAATACCATAAATATATAATGTTTATTTCATTTTAATTTGATAAAATGAAATTCTGTATCTTTGTTGCGTTTTTTTTTTTATTTGTGTAACCAGTTTGTTAGAGTTTCTAATGTGGGAATATTTTCTAATGAAATTCTATTCACAATACATTAGCTTCTTTCAAAAAAACTAAACGGATATGTTGAAATCAGATTTTGTTATAGAAAATTTGAAAACATCACATAATTAAAGCTCAGAACTTCTAATTTTTAAAATTACTTCATTAAGAACGAAATATATTATTCCTGGTTTTTCGAACTTTATTAATTATTTATGAAATGATTTCCATTTTTTTTTCAAGTTTAAATTTATAATGATGGGTTTAACCTATATTCAAATCTCCTTACGTTATATATTAAATTGAACAAATTCGAACACTTTCCAAAAATAAAATAAAAATTAAATAAAACAAAATAAAATAAAGGAAAATAAACTAAAATAAAATAAAATAAAATAAAATAAAATAAAATAAAAATAAAATAAAAATAAAATAAAAATAAAATAAAATAAAATAAAATAAAATAAAATAAAATAAAATAAAATAAAATAAAATAAAATAAAATAAAATAAAATAAAATAAAATAATAAAATGGAAATAAAATTAAATATAATATAATATAGTATAATAAAATAAAATAAAATAAAATGAAATAAAATAAAATAAAATAATAAAATGGAAATAAAATAAAATTAAATTAAATTAAAATAAATTAAATTAAAATAAATTAAATTAAAATAAATTAAATTAAATAAAGTTAAATAAAATAAATTAACATAAGACAAGTAAGATAAAAAACATGAGAATAAGATTAGGTAATATAAACTGAAATATAAAATTAAAGAAAAATTTAAAATTTTCTTGCCAAAGCAAAATTGCATTTTTAGTTATAACTTTTAAACGAGCACATAAAGTTATGATGCTAGTTTGAAATTATTTTCAAGTTGTTATATGTATTCTTGAATAATCTTTTTTCTTTATTTACTTATTTAATAATTAATTCTATTCCTGTTTAACTTTTGTGGTTGTATTTTCTTGCCATACCTACAAATATGTTTTGTATTTTTTAGATTAATTAACTATATACAAATTTGTACACAATTGCATTTTGCACTATACAGCCCTCGCGCCAAAGAAAACCTTCAAAAATAGCTCTACGCAATTTAGTTTGCATGTTTAGTCACAGCCATTTGAGGTTTTATGTACTCATAATGCCAAATAAGTGTCATACCAAAATTTAAAAATGAATAAAAACAGTAACAGAAAAACAAAATATCAAAAAACTACACAAAACGTGTGCGTAGCTCAATATTTCTTAGTTTATTATATTATATTAATTATATGGATTAATATTGCAATGTAAATATGTTTAATGAATTTGCTGATTTAAATTGAAATTATTATATAATATACTAAATGAATTAATAATTTAACGGCATACAATTTTAATTTAATAAAAATTTTATAATAATAATTGCTTACTTGTATTTATACACACAAAATGAAAAAGCCATTTTCCTTCAATTGAGTTTGGTGTTGCATTCAATAAATCCTTTTTCAAAATAAGATGAAAGCTTGATGTTATTAATAAAAATACTATATTGTTACTCATATCTCTAAGTAAATTTTACACAAAGTGAGCCCAAAAAAAAAAATTAATATTAAACCAAATTGGTTGCCATTATTTTTTGTTTAAGGACAATCAGTCCATAATTTTTGGAATTGTAAAATATTATAAGTATACCCATAATGTAATATTATATTTTTACTAATTTGAAGGAGTCAAATATGAGTGAAAATATGTACATATATTCACATGTTTAATAAATTCACACTCCCAGTAATCAAAAATAAATATTTAATTATTTATTGTAAATTCTTATTTTAATGGATGCATTTACCCTCACAAATAAAAATTATTGAAAAAAATTTAGTTTTGTTATTTAATACTTTGTATAGAAATCACCATCATTGTATTCGATGCATACAAATAAAATAAAATAAAATAAAATAAAATAAAATAAAATAAAATAAAATAAAATAAAATAAAATAAAATAAAATAAAATAAAATAAAATAAAGTAAAATAAACTAAAATAAAATAAAATAAAAAAAAAATATAATAAAAAAATATATAAACCATAAGAAAATAAAATGAAACGAAATAAAGTTATATAAAAAAATAAAATAAATTAAAATAAAAAGATAAAATAAAAAAATAAAAATAAAATAAAATGTAATAAATGTAAATGAAATGAAATAAATTAAAATATAATCAACTGAAATAAATAAAATAAAAAACATAAGGTAGGTAGGTAAATTGTATTGCTGATCCCAAAATTATTTGTTTCTGCAGGATTTGTATTGGCTTTTAAGGCAGATTTCCAACCCGAACTCATCTAAATTTGTTTCCGTAAATTATTCTTTCTTCAAATGCACACATATTTACAAAACGTTCAATGACCCCTGCTGATGAATTGAAAAGTTGACACGCCTACAGGACTACTGTTTGACGTATTTAAGAATCACACCTGTATATAAAGAATCACTCGAGAAACCACAAATAGTTATTAGTCATTGATTTATTGAGTATCTCGAAACTCGGCCGCTGGCGTTAGCCTTAATGAAGAGCATGACAAGAAACAAAACCAAGTGGCTGCCAGATGTGGCACGCAGCAAACAGGTAAACGAATACAATAAGCAAATATTTTTTTCTAACGATCTGCGACACAGCAGGAAGACTAGATGGTTGGTACACAGGCAGGCAGGCAGGCAGGCAGCTGAGCTGAGCTAAAGATGTGACGCCTGCGCTAAAAATAGGAAAAAAAAATAAACAACCAAGCAGGCCTACACACACACACATATATATATAAACCTGGTGTATGTCTAAAATAAATATCACTCAAAGGAAAACAAACAATAAAATCATAATGAATTGCTTCATGCCGATAAGCACCCGAAGGATATGGCGAATGTAGAAATAAGAGAAATAAAATACATACAGATGTGCGGCGGCTGTGCAGCATTTTTGTTTAGCCGTTGATTGGTAAAAACAAATCACGACAAAATTATTTCTGGTAAAAATAAATTTACAGACAGGAAAACAACATTTGTACATACATACATATGTATGAACAATACTCGTTCATATGTATCCGCTACACTGCGTAGACTGACTACGCTCTGGCGCTGTCTACGTATACCCTGTTGTACTGGTTGGTTGCGTGCCAGAACAAGAAGTTAATGAATGAGCCAAAGAAGTAGAAACTTGTTGAAATAAAAATAGCCACGTCGTAAGCGCGCAGATGCTGAGCAACCACCAATAGTCACGGCGACGAGCAGCAGCCGTGTTACAGCGCAGCGCTGATGGCTAAATCTACCCCTAGCTCATCCGGCACTTATCAGACAATTTTTCTTTTGAGTCTGCGTGCACTGTACAAATGTACTCGTACACGTCGTAGATTTATTTGAGCAGTGTGTTAGCTCCATTTATTATTTGGTTTCTTTTAATTCAATGTTTAATATAAATGTACATTTGTGTGTGTGTATATACATATGCCGGTATGTAAAGCTGGCAGCAGGCATTCAGGGTAGTGAAATTAACGGCTTGATCGCAGTTTGCCTTAGGGGAAGCGCTAAGTATTCATTGCCGAGCGCAAACTAGTTTTGCTGCCAGCTTGTCTATTCTTAAAAGCGTATATAATTTAGGCGCACAAGGTTTTTCTGCACATATTTGTATTGCATTGTATGTACGTGTATGTAGTTGCCAGCCATCCTACGGTGACTGTACATTTACGCATTTCATACATACATACATACACATGTACAACAAATGCTTATTGCTATTGGCCCATTTTCACCAAAACAATTTTCAGTTTTTACAAAATTCGCATTTTTTTTTTCGAGATGCAGTTCTTTCTTTTGCCACTTATGGCAATTCAATATGTTCGCTTAGTTTTGGGGTCAATGACACTCGATGAATGGTATGTACATACATATTTTCCAATATGATGCTCATGTCGGTATGTGCAGCACTTCGATGAGTGTAGGCTTAAAGAAATTTAGGTGAATTATCTCAGATGAATGAAGACGCTTGCTGGCTGCGAAGGTACATAGTACATACACATGTAAATATGGAAGATTTAGAACTTCTATCGAAGCGCACAAAAAAGATATATAATCCTTATTGCACTAGATTTTATGGCGGGATCCTTTACGTTGGAGAGTTTAATTGCTACAAACGTAGTTGTTATTGTAGCGGTTTACTAGCCCTGTTTAGAAGATCAGTCATCGAGGTCTTCTAACGGGAGGTCCAGGACACAAGCTCTTTCGTCCGGTACATACTTGAGGGGTAGGAGGCGTTGGAGGAGTTGGTTTTAGGGGACATGCAAAATTGTGGTTTTTGCCGTACGGGGACTCATTGCATGCAGGCCAAATGTTGGGTATCTTGGGGACAGTACTGTATAGGCAGGAATTCCGTCGTTTACAATATCCATATCTTAATTGGGCCAGTATTACGCGGGACTATTGAGGCAGCACGAACTCTTCGTCTGCAATGGTTGGTTTGTATCACTTCGAGAACACCATTTACTGCAAGAGAGTTCAGAGAGTTTCTGTTCGGCGGATATTTGTAAAGCGGTGCAGTCTTCAAAGTCGAGTATACTCTTCCTGATGTGATGTGGTGCCTCGTCATCTAGTTGGTGTCTGTTAGGGTGCTCCCCGTGGGTGATTTGCTGTGCAATTGATGCGTTGGCGACCTCAGGAGGTTCCCTGTCACGGTCCTGAGGGTGGAGCTCGGCAAGATTGTAGCTTCTTCAACTGTGTCTCGGTAGTCTCATTGTCAGCATGGGGCCAGCAAAAGTAATCCGTTGGACAAAGGTTGGGTACGACGCCAACCCTGATGAGAAGGATATGAAGGAACTTAGCTGCGAGGTGTTGCTCAGCTGATGCACTTCGCCCAATTTTACCTACTGATGGAATTGGAACCGGCTGCCGTCAGGGTTGAATCCACTCCAAATGAGCTGAGGTTACTCGCTTTGACCGGAAATGGGTTCAATGAAAAAAGTTTTACTGTCATACCAACTTCAGACATGGCAGCAGCTTCTTTTGCCCCTATCGAAAAAAAAACATTTGATTTATCTTTGGATCGCAGTGAAAATCTGATTAATGGCAAATCTATTAGGTCTCAAGCCAAATTAATTAGATCTATACACTTTGCTGACGGTGGACTATAGTCTTTCAGTCTAAAACTCTGCGAGAAGATAACCAAAACACACCCTTGAGAATGCTACTGTTGGCTAACTTTAAAGCCTCCGTAATTGTTTATGCTACCGAATCACTCAGGTATCAGATACTTCCAAAACCTGATCAATAGGTTAGGAATCTCCAAAAAAAAAAAACTTTTCCTCAAGAACTACTGGTGTCGGCTCATCGAATATGGATATCTGCACAAGTAATGAAGAAAAGCTTGTAGAGTTTGGTAATTTTTCTGCAGCCATGCAGCAAGTCTTAATCTCGCATTGTTCTACGACAGAAAATCTTCTGAAAAGCAAGAGAGCAGAGCATAGGGTGGCTCCAGTAATTGTATAACCAGAATCAAGAACCCAGACCACAACGGCAATGTGGCAAACTAAACAGTGAGTGAGATTGTCCAAAATGCTAATCCAAAAAAGCAAAAGAGTCAGTGAGAGGAACATTGACGGTAAGGCTGACCTGCCAGACCGTGAGAACGAATTTATAAAGCAGTGAAGGTAGATACAGAGAGGGTTTTCTAGCGGAATCTTAAAAAGACTGTTGTAGAACTATATGCAGGCCACACTTATTGCCATGGCTATTGGAACTTCTTCATGGCCCCGCAGGGAGTCATCTGTTCCATGGTCATCGAGAGGAAAGTCTGCTAGTGTTCCATTTTTACTGCCGTTCAGCAGGATGGAGATGTTTTTGCTATATTGTCTCCAGGTCATTTTTCTGGACCCTATATGAGTTTATTGCGGTCTTAAAACTTTCTGTAAGTCGTCGCTTCTTCTCGTAAGATTTTTTAGCATTCCATCGTTGGTCAACCTTTTTTTTTCTATCTGCACATGCGTCTTGCTTCCCTCTTCGGCCCTCGTTATCTGTCTCAACCTCCACGTATTGTAGTCGATTGCTGGGCAGTTCAACGTTCCTCATCGTACCAGCTCTTTTCCTCGCAAACTTGTTGTTTCCGTTGCGTCAGTACATAGCGAGTTTAAGATGTCGTCCCACAGTTTCCTTATACAGAATTATCAGTGTTCTCAGAAAACAAGAGGTCGACTGTCCGTTGTGATTGTCACTTTTCTATGTTGAACCATTGACGAGCGAGCTTTCCTGCACAGGACACAGGGCGTATTTTTGCTGCTAAATGACATTGGTCCGGGTCGCTGTTGAGTCCTCGGAGTGTACGCATATCAGGAATGCTAGAGACATGTCAATTGTCTGTTACATGTTCGTTCTGCCCATTACTCCATAAAAGTTTTAAAAAAGGTTAGGTTATAAACAATCCGTTAATATACTTTTATTGTAAGGATCAGCAGTCTAAGGATATTAAATATAAAGATATTTTATAAAATATATTTTTCAACGTATCTTATGTTTAAACCAAGGTTAGGAAAATATGCAATTGTAGGCTGTGTGAACAGCAAAAGTCATAAGAAAGAGTTTCGCTAACGAAATCTATGAACTGGTTTGGGGATTATTAAGTCTTCTCATTCGGCTTGTTTGTTACTCTGTTTCGCGGTCAGTATTTGGTTTTATCATTTTTTTGCAGTTGCATGGTTTTGGCTGTCTAACAGGAGCTCCGTTCTCCTCACACATACCGAACCGTATAGACGATGCTGTAACTGAATTGGCGCCATCACATGAAAAAGCCAGTGCTTCTTCGTTAGCAATGGATACTCTCTGTTTAATACTTGAATTTCTTGAAGGTGCCTTTTCGCTTTCGCCATCCGTACCGGCGGGGGCTTGAGAATATTTCGATTCCGTTTTTCTCATATAAGCATTGTCTTCGTTTTCGGCTGTTGCCAGCTCTTGAGGCACTGGTGGTGGCTTTCGCTTCTTTCTTATGCAGCAACACATGACCTCGTTAACCGAACCGGGTGCGGGTGGTTCGGCGTTTAATTCCGGTTCGGGCTTCCAACTTTGCGCCTCCGCGAGCGTACACAACTGCTGACGTAGTTGCTCCAGTATGAAATGTTGTTTACGTCGTACATCACCCATATTTATAGAATCCCGCATAATTGGCGGTAAGTCATCTTTTTCTTCATCAGGATTGAATGCGAGATGCTCCAATTCGAGCAAGAGGGATGACCATTCACTGGGCTCGGCTTGTATGATTTGCCGTATGCGAAATTGCAAACGTGCAAATTGTGTGGTGAGTGTGAGGAAGGCTCGCTGCAGACATGTGAACTCGCACTCCAGCCGGCGTATATATTCGAGGTGATTTACACTCTCCTGATTCGGATACCACAGATATAACAGCTCGAAGGGCTTCAGTCCGAAATTGCAACCCTCAACGTCCGGTTGATTGCTGTTGTTATTTGGACTGTTGCTGCTCGAACTTTTACCATCTTTATTTTTCATTACTCCTCTTTAAAAGTTTGTTGCAAGAAAAGCGTTTCTTTCCCCTGATTGCTGTTATTAATGTTGGCCCTGGCCAGTTAGTTGTCTGTCTAAATCGCGGCTTTGGAGTGCTAATGCTCTTATTTTTATCCAGCAAATATGGCTTTTATGGCGGAAGGGCCGAGAAAACAAATGTTTTATCCAAAATATGAAATTTTTTTAATTTTGAATTTTGACTGAGAAAAAACATTTCCTCACTTTTGATATTTGTTCATGTTCCACACAGTTGATTTTTTATTTCGTATTTAATTCCAGTGTTTTAATGTAGGTACACATGCGAAACTTTAACGTGAAAACGTATTACTGTTATTAGCTGGGATATCTTCGAACTTATAGAAAATCGCCATATTTTTCGGGTGACTTTCAGACACTTTTCTTCTTAACCGACTTTGCGACTCATTGGGGCTGTGATATACGAAGGTAAGGGAAGTTCGATCAGTTGGTGACTCTTAAAAACAGCTGGTACGATGAGGATTGCCTTGTCGCGGTGGAGAGAAAGCAGACTGCCTACCTCGCAATCTTGAGATCGAGCGCAACGCGTGCGGTAACCCATCCCGCGATAGCGAGAGCTGAAGAGGGAAGCGAGACGCAACTGCAGACAAAAAAAAAAGAGACCGAGATGCGTCAATATGAAGAGCTTGAGAAGCTGGCCGGCAATGATAATGCTCGAAAATTTTATGAGACGGTAAGACAACTTACATAAGGTTTCAAGACCGGAGCCGACTCTTGGAAAATACAAAGGGTAATTTAGCCACCGTTGCTCAGAGTATATTGAATTTATGGAAGAAATAATTCTTCAAATTGCTGAATAGCAGTGAAAATGGAGAATCTGGAGCAAGAAATCCCAATCGATGATGATGAAAACGGCGTTTCATTACCTGACAATTAATAAGTTCATATAGCAATCGCCTGTTCAAAGAACAACAAAGCGGCTGGAGCTGATGGCCTACCGGCAGAACTATTCAAACATGGCGGTGAAGAGCTGAGAAGATGAATATATCAGCTACTTTGCAGAATATGGTCGGACGATTGGAACGTATACTCTGCCCAATTAATAAAAAAGGGAACCCCACAGTCTGCGTCAGTTATCGTGGGATAAGCCTCCTTAATATCGCTCATAAGGTCTTGCCGGAAGTATTGTGTGAAAGACTGAAGCCCACCGTCAACAAATTGATTGGATCTTATCAGTGTGGCTTTAGACCTCTTCGTCGATTTTAAAGCCGCCTTCGATAGCTCAAATAGGAGCTGCCTTTACGCCGTTACGTCTGAATTTGGTATCTCCGCAAAACGGCTGTATATACAGCCATGTAAACTGACGTTAAGCAATACTAAAAGCTTCTTCAGACAGGGTGATTCCTTATCGTGTGACTTCTTTAATTTGTTGCTGACACAAATAATACGAACTGAAGAGCTAAATAGACTACGTATAATCTTCTATAAGAGTGTACAGCCGCTCGTGTGAATCGATGATATTGACATTATTGGCCTCAACAAATGCGCCGTGAGTTCAGATTTCTCCAGATGGATAAGCAAGCAAAGGGTATGGGTCTGATGGTAAACGATAGCAAGATGAAATATTTTTTGACATCAAACAAACAGTCATCGTATTCAAGACTCGGCTCCCACTTCACTGTAGACAGCCATAAGTTTGAAGTCGTAGATAATTTCGTCTATCTAGGAACCAGCATAAACACTAACAATAATGTCAGCCTTGAAATCCAACACAGAATCACTCTTCCCAACAGGTGCTACTTTCTTCTTAGTAAGCGATTGAAAAGTAAAGTCCTCTCCCCTAAACTCTATAGGTCCTTCATCGTTTCCGTCCTGCTATTTGGTGGAGGCATGGACGATGACAACATCTGATGAGTCGACGTTAGGAGTTTTCGAGAGAAAGGTTTTTGCGTAAGATTTACGGTCCACTACGTGTTAGAAATGGAAAAAGTTGCGGCAGATGGAAACTTGAGCTGTTCAAAGATAGGCGACGACAGAGAAAGAGAATACAATAAAGCATTTGGAGAAAAGATTTTTATCTGCTGGTGCTGTCGCCATTTCCAACCGCGATGATTTCGGCTGATCTCTTGAAGTCGAAAGTTTATATAAACAAGCTGTATTGAGAGGCGAGCTGGGTAGGTGTACAGTACAGATATGATTTTCAAGCAAAATCGTAATATCGCCACTTCGGCTCCCCTACTAGAGATAATTATGGAAGGGAAAATCGATCTTCCTTTTGATTTCCTCTAAAAATAGATTTTGTCCAATACTCAGGCAAACATTTTCTATTATTTTTTCAAGCAGTATTATTGTTGTTATTTTATTTTAGCAAACAACGGTTCATAAACAACAAATACTTAATTAAAAGAAAAATACAGCGGCAGCAGTCAACGTGAAAATTGGCCTATCACATCATCAAACTCGCTTACTCCTCCTCTTCGTCACACGATTGGATTTCGCTAAAGAGAGTCTACTCATTTAAATCATATGCTCATCGGTAGATTTTGCTTTTACTGGAGGTTGAGTATTCAGAATCCGCACTACTCATAACTGTGCTATTACGATACGTGGACTTGCCCGTCCATGAGTCAGTATCTACTGGCGCTGGTGGATATTTCCAAATTGGTGCATTCTCGAGGGTGCTCAATTTCTGATGTAATTGATTGAGCATGTAATCCTGCTTGCGTCGTACATCGCCTAAATTTTGTGCATCACGTTGAATTGGTGGCAATTCATTGTTCTCCTCAGCATCACCGTTAAATACCAGTTGCTCAAGGTCAATTAGGAGTGCGTAGCGTTCGCAGGGTTCGGCTTGCAATATTTGACGTATGCGGAATTGCACTCGTGCAAATTGTGTGGTAAGAGTGAGTACAGCCCGCTGCAGGCATGTGAATTCCGACTCCAGTCGTCGAACATATTCCAAGTGCTTGGTTGTTTCATGGGTTGGATACCAAGAATATGCCTGTTCGAATGGATCGGACTCACATTTATCTACGCGCATTTGGGCTCGTTGTGTTACGATTTGAGGGTTTCTCTGGCTGCCATCTAAAGTTCTTTCATCGGTTATCTTCATTTTTTAGAGCTGGGCTGCTTTGCGTGAGCTAAAATTTTCCGTCGTAAAAAATGTTACTTTCCTCTCCGCCAATTGTTTTCACTCAGGATTACAGGATCGCAAATGGCAATGTCAAGTGTTGTAACCAATGGTTTGATCCAAAAAGTTTTTTTTTCAAATAAAATTGTTTATTTTTGAATTTTGAATTTTGAATTTTGAATTTTGACTGAGAAGATTTTTGGTTTTTTCTATTTTGAAATAGTTTTCCAAACGGTTGAGCTGATTTGTGAAACTCGTTCATATGTAACTAATGTTGCCTGATTTGCAAAGAAAATTACTTCGATACAAATCCTAAAATTTTTAGTCAACGCAGTTCCGGGTTTGCAGTGCTATAGCAAGGACCCTTTTTTGTTCTTCTACGATCCACTGCTGGTGGCAATACACGAAGGCGCTGGAAGGACTATACTTGAAGGTGCTGAAAGATCCGAGTCAATCGGCAATAATGACCTCGTCAGCAACACTAGCGCTAGCAATATCATTCTTTTGGGTGCCCAAGTGTAAGAATTTGACTATTCGGTGATATTAATTCCCACTCATACTGTCTATCTCAGGATCGTGCGGAGACATGAAGGTGTCTTGCCTTAAACTGAACAGTGAAAAAAATGAGATGATCACAATTCCCCACCCAAGATGAAAATAAGTACATATAGCACGATGACAATTACTTCCGGAGTGTGAACACTATTAAATATCTTTTCTCAGATCTTTATTCCGCTGAGAAAGGACTCCGTTGACATTACAATCACCCTTTACTAAATAAAGTTAAATTTCTTCAGGGCTGAAAGTTGTGCCTTCGTTCCGGAAGATTCTCTAACATTAAGTAGATTGGTTGGGTGTCCTCGATGGAGTTAATCCAAGCACGTACTGTTTGAAACCTGCAGGATCTTTCTGAAAACCTGACAGCGATGTTAAGATGAGATAAGACCAACACTAAACCTCACTCCAACAAAACCTGCTGCTGGTGCTTCTCCTGCAGCCTGTAGCCGTTGCTCGGGCATTGTGCTTTGTGCTTCAGCGGCTTCGAAGCGCTTGCCAACCCTATTGTCAGGGTTTATTTGTCTTTTAGTTTGATGAAAGTTTGCGCGCCTGGAGTATATCTAATGTTTATTATGCTGCAGTTTGCTCTTGCTGCAAAAAGTGACGATCTTTCTGAGCAAAATAGTTCCCGTTATCCACCTATATTCCGAGTTACTGAAGTTTATTGAGCGATAGGCCTAATTGATTGTCTTGAGACAGACTATTGCGGAGTTGATAAAAGTGATTACTCTGTACTGAAAACGCTTAGACTAATCAGTCTATTACCTCTTCTGCTGAAAACTATTCAAAGGATCTGCGCCGACGTGTTCAAACAACAAACACTATTCAAAAAGGTGGACAGTGCACGTACATCATAAGTCAATCGCTTAGATGAAAATTAAAGGAAAAAGAGCTTTTTAACGAACCGCAATGATTTCATTAACTCTCTTATCTGGGATCAATCAGAACTTACTTGGAAGATCGTTAAAATATATGACAAAACCACATTTGGCCTGTACAAGAGGACACTTGTCTCTATTACCACATCTCAACTTGAGATACCAACTGCTCGAAGCGGAAAACATAAATGTGCTGTATTATACAATTGAACTCGACTAATCCTATAGTTGGACATTCATTTATGACGAGTAACAGAGAGGACAGTGAGATTTCATATTTTCATAATTTTCACCAAATCGTTCAAGTACCTCGGTATGATTTTTGATAAGAAACTTAGTTTGAGAAAAAATACTGGAAAAGTGCGAATTGAAGTGCTCCGAATTTAGAAAGGGACATTGCGCCAAGATGCATGCCACGACTCATACTATGGAGCACCAGTAAAACAATAGTCTAAGGGACAAGAGACTCTTCTAGAGTAGGGTAGGACGTAACACAAAATTTTTTTTGGGTTGTGTGGATTGCTATCGGGCCAAACAATCGCTTACCCTAAGAAAAGGGCAACTTTTGACAACAACCAGGATTTTTTTTTTCAAAATCCAGGCTGAATCGGCAGTGTAGAGAGGGCATGAATGTCACTAACTTTGTCTTTCGAAACATCATATTTTCAATGATGCTTCCAAATCTAGTTGAGCCAAGCCGGGGAGTACATCCCTTTTATTGGTTCGTGGAGCGTTAATCAAACAAAAAATAAGAAAAGAACACTCGAAGGTCTTTAACTCACCTGATAAACTGTTAAGTGAGTCTTAGGTGAAACTTGCTTATATGACATTTGGGCTGGGCTCGAAATATGGTCGTATAGCATGTTAAGATCAAATAAAAAAATTTTCATCAAAGTTTCATATGGTTCACCATATTGGGATAAATGAAGATCCCCGCGTACCACCGCTCGTGAATTCCTAGTTCAATGAGGGCTTTCACCTTGAATTTAATAATACTTATAGAAAATAATAAATAAACATCGCATGCTAATAGAAAGCTGAGAAGAGAGTCAAAAATGCGATACCAATGAACGCTCTTTATCGATGTTAGTATACTGATTAATCCATTAATGATCGATAATTTTTATGTTAAGATGACATCAGGATTTGAACCCGAGCCTTCTAAATGGCAGTACGCAATGCTAACCACTCGGGTACCGCGGTCGGCGAAGGGAGAAATCTTCAATCTGCTTCAGTAACAGTAAAAAAAAAAATAACAGACAAGGCGACTCTATCTCTTGTGTGACTTCTATAGCCAAATTCTAGGCACAATTATTTAGAAGAAAAGGGAATCGCTGGTCTATGGTTTCAGATATTCTGCGTCTGCTGATAATTTTATTGTATTGAGGCTTGATTCTGAAGCAAAGCAAATATCTATGACAGTGAACATGGACAAGGCGAAATTTCACCTGTCAATGTTGACTATCGCAAATTTGACGTTTTAGCCGATTTCTTATAGGTGGGAACCAACGTTAACGCACTCAAAAATTTTAGCCTCGAAATCTAACATAGAATTGCAGTGGAAAAAGTGGGACAGGGGATCCCTGAACAAGCGAAACTGTTTATATTTGTTGAATAAATGCAGACAATTTACATAAACGCTTTCGCATTTTCTCAAAGGCACCTCAGCAGAATCTCCTCACGCATCTCATACATTCGTAAAAGCAACGCGCAGACGGAAGCCAAATATAAGCCAAGAAGAAAACGCACAAAAGCACACAACCAATTTCATGTACCCGCATGTGGCGATGAAAGTAGCAGCATTAAGTAATTTGTGTGTGTGCATGTGTGTGTGTGTGTGTGTGGTGTGCAAGGTGCCGGCCGGCATGTTAAGGTAGGTTCGTACGCAATGCTTTGCCGCAAAAATCTCTTCCTCTCTCTCTTTCATCTCTCTCTCTGTGTCTCTTAGCCCAGTGCAAAAACGCTTTACTCCCCTGCGGTGCTTTACATACTCACTTTCGTCTAAATATGTGCGGTTATGTGGTGTAATTGACATTTCAAACGTCAAAGTTTTTCGTATTATTGTCGGCTAGAAAGTGGGACAGTCTAAAGAGGAAGAATATTCGTGACGCGAACAGCAGGCCAGTTGGCGCGAGTGAAAATATGCGCTGGAAAATAATAATTATAGGAAATGGAAATTTATGGCAAACATTTTTGTTGCGTATATGAGCGAAAAGGAGCTGAGAGAATGTGGAACAAGTGGAAATGAAATAAGAGCACACTTCACTCACTTCAAAAGAGTGCAGTGTTTTTTTAAGAGAAAGCTTTTTATTGCAGTCGCCGTCTAAAACTAGTGGATTGTTGTTTTCTTCTGTTTTCGTGAAGAAAGCTGTAGATAACATTGGAAACTCAGAACTCTACACTTGAACTAAATGTCATGGAGACCAAATGAAACCTGGAGTTAGATGTTGAGATTGCTTGTGCGTTTGCGACAGTACGGAAATCTCCATATGAATTGAGAAGAACCTTTCGTAGCGTTAAGCGAGGTTTTAGTAATTTCAATACAGCTAATGCCAATGTCTATTATCTCTTTCGGTATAGGTTATTTCATATCTGGTTCGCGAAAGTTAAAAAAAACTACCATCCTTCCTCTTTTCCAACAAATTTTACTCAACCAATGGGCAATTCCGAGCTGGAACTTCGCCGGGGTGTGAGAGTTGTGATCTTTATAACTGAAGTTGCTTTGTCGACCTTCGAAGATCTTCCTTTGACCTAGAGAAACTCGTCAATACGCATAAAGAAGTACTCGCTCTGTATTTGCTCGGCTGGCTTTAAGCTTACCTGTGGTGAAGGAGACAGCAAGTTCACAAAGGAGTATCTGTAACAGGTGTGTCCGACAAAAGTGGTACACGCTCACTTACCGGCATTGAAGTTACCAGCGATCCCACTGTGATCCCGGAATTAAATTATTTTGAACCGAGTTAGCTCTTAGTTACTACAGAGAATGGTGTCAGGCATGATTCCTCATAAATTTTGAGGGTAAACCCTAAACAGTGATAGTCTATTCATTTGCACTCCGAGTGAATGTTAACCCACGCTACCATCTTCTTTATGACGCAGAACATTTAGGTAAAGAGCAGTGGAAGAATTTGCGTCTTTTGTGGAAGATTTGTCCTTTTCGTTGAGTATCGAGGTCGTTTAGATCGCTTAATGGACGCTGGAAATTGTTTACTCCATTGGAATGCAACATCTAACGGAAGAAATAACTGATCGGAGAAGAGCCTCGCTTAAACAGTAAGCTCTATGATTGTGTTAAGCTCCCCCCTGCGGGTTAGGAGTTCAAGAGTTTACACGCAGTAAGGCAATCCAATAGTTCCCACAACAGTCGGGTCGTTGTACTTTTGGGAATATTGTGTTGAGCTTTTATCGCTCCGTTCAGCACATCCAGCGAATCAATAGAACGCAAGACTCGGGAAAAAGTCGATCATTTCCCAATTTCATTCCGTATTAGTTCAAAATTGCGGAACACACCTGTTAAGGCCAGGAACGTCATTTCTTACAACTCTTCATTGATATTTTGAGGTTGCATAGTGGCGCGTGTATTGCGGTAAAGTAAAAAAGGTTTCTGAATGAGTCTAGTAGTTCTGGCAATATTATAATCTTAATAAGGTTTAATCTACTAGAAAGGACGGACTACCGCACACTCTTCACTGGCTTCCCGTCAGATTTCATGGCAGCTGCTCCAGATAGGAATAAATTGCACAGGAAAGGAAATACA